AACACTATTTATTTACACGTATGTACTTCGACGTGTGACGCAACGTGGGTGTCCGGTAGCCGTCCTCGGAAACGCCGGTACATGACACCCTTCGGCCAAAAGTCTTCTCTCATGAAGGTCGACAGGTGTTGAGTTGGTACTCGCACCACAAATGAATTAAAATTCACATTGTGGCGCGACTCCAACCGCTCGACCCTCAGGTTTGCATTGGCCTTCACTCGCATGTACTCCACAATATCCGCAGACTTGGTGGAGTAATGAAGACGCGACACGTATAACAACGTCGTCGGTACCGCTGGACGCAATAAATGATTCGGGCCAGTCAGGGCGGTGCCACTAAGGTTTCGGCTGATGTTCTTCTTTTTCTTTTCCACCTTCCGAAAGCCGTCCTCGTCGCACTGATCAACTCGTCTCCGTGGTACTGACGACGCAGCTCCAGATACGAGTTTCTAGACTATTATGCGCCTTGACTCGAAAAAGACGCAGTTTCCGATCGGGAGAGGCAGCCAAAACCAAGCTGCAGGATGGATGGTGTTCCCGGCCTTCTAGTCGACCGAAGGTTCTATGCTTTTCGCTTCACCGAGTCCAAGGCAGCCATTTGATAATCAAACTTGTGCTTTACGCTGATTAGAGTTTGTTTTTGCTTGTTGTGTGTATTATTACATCACTCGTAACCTTTCAAAATTACGTTCCGACAATGTCCGATAGAGAACAAAGGCGGAGATTGTAAAACAGCACTATGCTGACTAACTACGTCCTTTTCATCACTCGTAATTTATTAGTACATAATACGTAATGTCAATGCATTAGTACATAACGTGTTCCTCAAAATCTATAACACCTATATACGGCCACTGCTGTGTGTGTTCAATGTGTGTGTGTTTGATGAATAAAGTCCTATTTAATTCATTGACTTACAAATAAATGGACGACGGGTCTAATACAAAAACCACGAAAAAAATGTCCCAAGTCAACCTATTTAAACGTAGTGACATGTAAAGGAATATGAAAAAGCTAAAACGTTGAATTTAAATTGTAATGTCATCGTAGTACCTACTGTCTAATTTTGCTTGCTTCGCTGTCAGAAGAAACAAACGAAGACTAAAGCGTGAATGACACTCTGTATACGATTTTAACGCCCTATAAGTTCGGACACTTTTTGGCGTGGCGTAAGTCAATGTATTTAATTAATTTAATTTTTTACATATTTAAAAGCTGTTCAGGTGAGAAGTCCTGCCTGACATTGTAAAGTATGCCAATTTTTTGGCAGCAGTTTTTGGCCATGCGCTCGTGCATTTTGCGTACCTATGAATCTTAGTGTTGACACTGATAACTCCCTACGCTCCGGCTCCATGTCTAGGTCGTAAGTTATTATTATGTACAATTTACCTGGCTATCCTTCAATCCCAGCTTCTCTGCGAGCTTCTTCCTGTCCGGTTTAGAGATGTATTTCTGAACCTGGAACCGTTTCTCGAGCCCCTTACGCTGCAGGTCGGAAAACACAGCCCGGCGCATCATGCCGCGACGGGGTTTGCCTAAAGGATAAAATTAATATTAATTCAAATTAATTTATTCTCAGACCAAGTAGTCCAGATTTGTTAGTAGCTTTTTGTTTTTTTTAATTAAAATAAGTGCGCACTTGACCTCCTTCTCACCTGACGGAAAGTGATGATGAGGTCGACGATGGACACCTAAGTGTTCGGGGAACAAGTAGCATTCCACAGGTAGAGAATTCCCCTCTCTAGCCGCTCGCCATAAAATGTGGAAGCGAAACGCCTCACGAAAATCCTGGGCATATCCATAACATAGGGCTGCAATCCCAGACCACGTATAGTCCCCCGATGGTAGAAAGGGGAGGGCGGAATCAAATTATGCAATTCCATCGCACATTCTCCGTGTTATGCCCTGTAGAATACCGATAAGCAGGCAACTTTACGGCGGTGTTCAAGGCATTGCAGCTTCGCCTGTACTAAATCCGAGTCACTTATAAGACTCATGGCGCGCTTGTTGATTGAATCCAAGGTGGCCAGTTGGTATATAGCAGAGCCAATAATAATAAGAGGCAGCAGTACTCCATATACGACCAGGCTTGTGCAACAGGACCGGTCAAACAATGTTATGAGAGTAGAAACAAGGAGACCAATTACAATACCTACATTAAATTAAATTGCATTACTATATGTCCACGTGTAACACGGTAAACCTATGGAAGACAGCCGAGTCCATTTCTTGCTATCATCCTCAGGATACCATTGATGCTCCGACGCAATCGCAATATCTGTGACTCACTTTTTATGCGCATGATTGCGTAAAAATCATCTACACACGCATCCGCAAACACGGGTAGCAAGTAGCGCTGCAAAAGCGAAGAAGCCTCAACAGAACCGTAAAGATGTCGTTGTGTGCACCTGTATAAAAATTCTGGCTAGAGCATATTGCTCTAAAACGAGTTATTTATGTCAAAAAATAGTGACAGCCATAACATTAATATGTGGAATAAAAATAAACTACTAGCTGTCATCTTCACAGTCGTCTTCATAAAGTCTCAAATTCATTTATGGGGCAACGCTTCTATAGTAAGATTTCGACTGATATTTAACATTTGCCATTTACGAGGTTTAAAACTATTGTGAGACAAAAACTTTATACGAAAGGTCGTTTATACAACTTCTGCGTACTTGGATGACAAAAATCCGTGCTAGTGACGCGTTTAGCTCTTTCAGGTATTGTCGATTTAAGATGATTGAATTAAATATTACCCCTACACTTTTCTTGCTCATTCGTCTCACAGGAATCTGCCTTACGAATGAGCGGTGGAGTTTAATCAGGATGACTATTTCAAATGTCAAATCAAAGACTATATGACTTTGACTTTAAGTTATTTTTACATTTACAGAGCACCTAGGAAACTTCTGAGCCAACATGTTACAGCTTACCGACAACGTTATGCGCTTCTTCTCAACATTTATTTATTTACTTACTCAACAACAATTCGCAATTATGTACATACAATACTTACTATTAATTTAATACTACGTATGACTTTAGCTCTTTAGCTTGGAACAGATGACATTTGTGCACAAAATTGAAATCTTTTTCCATCCTTTAGATTGAAATGAAATAGATTTAGTTGATATCCTGTTTAAAAAAATAAAAATAAAAACACGTGCATAAAAATGTACGTTTATAAAATTTAAAAAAGGATTCCGTTGTTTTTTTTTTGGTAACCTATCACAAATTCGAAAATTTTTTGTCCGAAATAACGTTTGTTCGAGTTTTCATTACACCGAAAACCGAATTATAACAAACAGCTGTTGTTTCAGGATATGTTGAATGTTTATCGCAAAGACACGATTAGGTTCGGTTAGGTTAGGTTAAGTTTGTACTGGCCGATTGGAGAAAGAGGAGGCACGGGTCCCTCACCTACCGTCTTGTTCAGGTACTCACCGGACACGCCTGTTTCGGTGACTACCTGCACAAGATCGCACGGAGAGAGGTGACCCCGGAGTGTCACGAGTGCGGCGCTGCTACAGACTCGGCGAGGCACACCTTGGAGGTGTGCCCGACCTGGAGCCAGCAGCGCCGGGATCTCGTAGAGGCGGTGGGACGAGACCTCTCACTGCCCAGCATAGTTAGAGCCATGCTGGGAAGCGAGAGGTCATGGCAGGCGATGGTCTCCTTCTGCGAGGACGTGATGTCGCAGAAGGAGACAGCCGAACGGGTCCGCGAAGACAGCGCCCTCTCGGACCCCATTCGGCGTCGACGGAGAGGACGCACGCGACGGCTCTTCGCCGACCGCCTGCGTCCCATCAGCGAGGCCAGCAGGGTGCGTGATTGGGAGACCCTGCCCCTGCATTGCACAGGCCTCCGACGCCGGTAGATGCCCCAAATGTTCCGGGGCATCTCCGTGCAGGTCGCCCCCCATGACTAAGGAGGGGGATGGTGTAGGGGTCCAGGGGGACCAGCACCACCGGATTCGCGGTAGCATCTGAAAGGGACCCCGCGGCTCCGGCGCCAGTTGCGCGCAGGAACATCGTGAGGTTTTTAGTGGGTATGCTCTTGGGGATCGACATAGTCCCCAGGGGAGAGTCCCACATATCCCCGCCGTCTCCCAGCGACGCATTTTCCTCACGGTAATAAAAAAAAGGTTAGTTTAAGTTAGGTTTAAAAGAAAAAACATTTTCCTCTCAAAATTACTTTCGAGGTTATGAAATTTCGACCAAACGTTATTTCTGGAACATGTCATTTCGGACTAGTGATGGGTAACCTTTTTTTTATTCCGTGGTGTTCACAGTAGCAGCAATTCCCTAGTTTGAGGCCAGAATATTGGATATGTTAACGGGCACATTATTAATTGACCCTTACACCATTAATTTTTTACAATTATTTCTAGAATACAGGAAAGATCTCCTACCTCTGGAACTATGGGCCCACGGAAATCCACCAGGTAGAGGAAACACCTGAGTATGCGCTTGCGCTGGTCGCACTGAAACAAAATTCGTAAATTATAACATTATAAAACTATAGAGCTCCTTGTGAAAGAGTTCGTCCAAGGAAGTACTGCCACCTTATCTATTTCTGCCGCAAAGCAGTAATGTCAGCAATACGGTGCGCGGTGCTGGTGAAATTACAGGCACGTGGGACTTGTCAAATGGGTGACGGACGCAGTGGCGTGCCCCTAAGGTCTTTGCGATTTAAAGCTCTGAGTGGCACTGTAACTGTTATGGACTGACGTGTCGCTTTTCACCAGGCGCACGACTTGTTCGTCCCGTCACTTGGTATGGTAAAAAAAAACAATATTCCGCACCAAAATCTATTGGGACCGATCCATTTGTTAGACTGTTTTTTTATTTCACTTATCAAAACACGGAAGAAATACTTATTTACTAGTTACAAGCATCGCTTAGAAAAGCCCTTCCGGCTTTATTCGCGGCAAAGGAGTGCAGGCTAATTTAATTAAAAATATAATATCGCCCTGCTATTACAATAGTGTTGTAACTCAAAATACGCGAAGTTCAAGATTATACCATTTCTCAATGTAAAATTTGTTTCTATGCAGGCCAATAAAATTGGCATTGGAATATTGTACTTAATCCAGAATGAGACAAACATTTTGTGAGCTAGTTCTGTATAAAACAGTCCATACTCAAAAATATGAAATCATTTTTTTACTTTTATTTTCAAATATTCTTCTAATAGGAGTTGTTTAGATGTCTAATAAATTTTAACCTATACCTAAATTATAATAATCTTTCACGGGAACTGAGTAATTAGTTTTTCAGCTATTCTGAAAAACTCCCTTTTTGAGTTAATACACTATTGTATTACCAGTGCTATATAATGGAGCGAAAACAACACAGAAATATCTTTTTTTATAAAAAAAAAATACCGACCTCAAAACTTCGTGGAATTACATCTATTGGCCAAGTTTTACTGAAATCGGTTACAGGAAAGTGCGCGAAACCGGATTCATCCCCTAGTTTGCCACCCTTAGAGATGGAATAGTTTCTTCAGAGGTACCCTCTTTCCAACAAAAAAAGAATCATCAAAATCGGTTCATAAATGGCGCAGTTATCGCGTAACATAAGAATCTCCTCCTTTTTTGAAGTCATTTAAAAAGACTGGTAAAATAACGCGCTATAATAACGCACACTTTCAACATAGCCCCGCACTAGGGAAACCCTGTGTCGCGGGTGCCATGGACACACACATAGACAACCACAAATTACACCCAAACTCACGAGACCGATAAATGTAGGCCATACATCTATTTCTTCCGGCCCGGGAATCTGGGACCTCTGCGTGGCAGTCTGGCATGGTAATCGTTCGGCCACAGAGGCAGGTTCCATCATGTTAAACAAAAACTAATTTAATTACAAGACAGTTACAAAAACATGCTAACTTGACATACTCATATAATTGATTGACTTATTGAAAAAGAGGTGAAATAAATAAATAAAATACATGAAATCTTGCTGTAGTAATAGACAAAACCCAAAGGCGGTTATTTTTATATCACTCTCAGTTCATGTAGTTACTTTAAACAACTTTTATTCGCACATTTAATCGACTTGGTACAAAAACGGGACCTCCCAAAAACCACAATGTTAAAAAGGCAACCTATTGTTGATTAAAAAAAGAGATATAAATAAAAAGCAAACTGGCTACAAAGGACCCTTAACAAATTGAGCAAACAGACTGACAAAACATCGTATTGTTATATTAATCCGTTACATAAATAGTCTACTTGTGGGGCTCATTTCGGCATTTGTATCAACTTGGCGTTTAACTTGTACAATATTTGTATTATTATTAAATTATAAATAACCGAGAAATATCGGAAGAATCTCGATTTTAGTGGCAGCAGAGCTCCTTGTGAAAATATCATCCAGGGAAGTAGCCAAGCAGTATTTTTTTTTATTATACCAGGCGGCGAGGACGAACAACACGCCTATCGATGACAGTTGCAATGCCACGCAGAGCTTTAAATCGCAAAGATGTTATTGGCACTACTCGTCGAGTATATAAACGAGTATATAAGAAATAGAAGCGAAATAAGGGCCATCCATCCCTGGCAACTAATCAGGCTAATGCGCCTTATATAACTTTTAAATATCAACTCTCGTTTGCGCTGAAATCACAAATTAGAAAGCTGAAATAGTGCAGCGCCAACAACGGACCTGTGTGTACGTCTCCGTATATTCCAAATATATTCTGTATTTATTGTAATAAAGATAATAATCTCTGACAATGGAGAGCTGTTACATCTGGTGTGGGAAAAACAGCAAAATATCTAATTTAAAATTTAAATTTTCGTCCATTATAGCAAATCTCAACTGAAACTGGTCGATTTGAAGTGAAACAATTGACGACTCCCGTATTTCGAATTCGGGCTGGGCAATTGGAGCGCAGTTGTCACCGTAACAACAAATTAAATGACATTTCGTCTCTATTTCTGGTTATGTATTCGATAGCACTTCCACTGCGTCCGTCACCCTGAGACAATAAGTTGACAAGTCCCATGTGCGTGTATTAACCTTTATCCTTCAAAACCGGAACGCAGTAAGGCTCACATTACTGCTTGACGGTAGAAATAGGCAAGGTGGCAGCACTTCCCTGGACAAATTCTTCCTCAAGGAGCTCTGCTGCTAGTAAATGTAATGTGCGCGTTCCAGTTTTGATGGGTAAGTATACTAGTGACATTACAGCTATATGGGACTTGTCAACATCTCTGAGTGCCACTCCAATTGTTAAAACAATAATGTATAACTTTTTATATTTAAAAAGACCAACCTCAATAGTCTGTTTATCGGAACTTGCTTTATTATTGGAATTACATCTAATTGCCATGTTTTATTGCAATCGGCAAACGGAAAGCGCGAAACCGGATTCATCCCCTAGTTTGCCACCCTTAGAGGTGGAATATGTTCTTCAAATTTGAATGGGAATCATCGAAATCGGTTCACAAATATCAGAGCAATCACGTATTATACAAAAAAACAACAGTCGAATAGAGAAACTCCTTTTTTGAGTCGGTTAAAAAAACGGACGACGTCAATGCGCATTATTTTCTATTAACCCAATAAATCAGCAAAAAATCCACGAGAACGCGAAAAAAAATCCAATAATTTTCGACCACAAAAGGTCAACGGTGGCAAAGCAAAAATGGACTATAAGCCCACTTATTACCTTTTTCCCAGTTGTGCCATTCTTTCTATTGTCAAAGCATAAAACGCAAACATCATTTTTCTATTGTGTACATTATTTTTTATTAAACTATTATGAAATTTATTGGATAAGTATTTATTTGGTAATAATTTTCTTGAATGCCTTTTTGTGTGTTTAATCCTTAGCAACGTATTTATTTTGCCGTTTATTAAAAAGCTTTTTTTTTTTATAAACGGCAAAATAAATACGCAAATGCGTTGTTTATGAAAACGCAGACAGAGATATGCTCTGAACTCTGTATTAATCTCGTCACATATGCCCGTTATTATTTTTGGAAGATTTAAAGAGACCTTTAAACTGACGACTTCTAATTATGTAAGAACAAGAACCAAAAATATAATTAAAAGAGTCTCATGCACGGTAGCGAGACTTACCAGCCAAGTATGGATGATGGCAGTGTGCCAGCAGGTGCTGTAAATGCTGATGCTGCACTGGCACTGGTCTGCTGGCGATCGGCTTCGCGATTGGCCATGGGTTACCAATCATTGGCTGACGGTATTCTGTAACAACAAGTTCAAAATTTTATTAAGTTTTTGTACTTTTGTAGTAACCTGTGGATGATGTGTCCGTCCCATCCAGTCCCTTCAGCCGCTTAGGTTATTGGGAACTGGAGAAACGCCGTTTTTCGGCGTCGGGAAGCGAGCGTGTCTTACTGCTCCATCACCAGAGGAGATTTGATAGTGTATTTTAGAGCGAACGGCTTAGCGGTTGCAACCGTTAGTTACGCAATGCGCAACGGGACATGAGTGAGTGAGCGTGTCTGCAGCTCCGGTAGCTATCTGGAAAACATCCCTATCTGGTTAACAGTACTGGAAAATAGTAAAACAGTACAGTACCGGGTACTGTGCGTGTACCCGGGGCAGATCACCCAAGGCACTAGCCTTTTGAACTGGAGGAAGTCCGTGCATAAGATCTGATATGGGGTCAGGACCTGACTGAGTAGGTCCCCGTGCGGGCTTGCTTGCACAAGATATCATCATCAACAACCCATTTATATGCACTGGGCACGGGTCTCCTTTCAGACGAGGGTTTAGGCCATAGTCCGCCACGCTGGCCCAATGCGGGTTGGGGACTTCACAAGTTTTCCTAGGGTTGTGAATCTTCTTCAACCTGCAGGTTTCATCACGATGGTTTCCTTCACCTTTTCGGTGAAGTGCTATGATCATGATAAATTTCAAATTAATTAAATTACTCACATAAATTCCGAGAAACTCAGAGGTGCGAGCCCGGATTCGAACCTACGACCTTCTGCTTGAGAGGCAGTAGGTCAAATCATTAGGCTACCACGACTTCTATATACGGGATAGAAGGGCACTATAACTTGTGCCAATACTGTATAATAATGTAAACAAAAAAGTTCTATTCCAAGGTTGCCTGGAACAAATTGCTACTTCGCAATAATTAATGTGCAATAAAGAATATTTCATTAATTCATTATTCTTCATGACAAATAACGTAAGAAGAAACGCCTCACCCTGGAAAGGATGCCAAGGTTTTTGGTTGCATTTTTGGCCATGGATTCTATGTATGTGCCGAAGCTAAAATTGGACGACAGGTCCATTCCAAGTAGCTGGAGACAGACAGTCGGCTATCGGTATGGATATATCACGAAAAGTCGGAGTCAGCTTAAAGGGACTCCGTTTTGTGGAGAATAGACACACCTGCGTTTTGGCAGCACTAAATTTGACAAGATTGGCATCGCCCCAATCTGAGACCGCCTTAAGTGTGAAATCCAAACGACTAACCATGGACTCTCGCAAGACTGGATTATCTCTCCACAGACCCTCGCATTGGTTAAGTACCTGTCTACAACTGTGCTGCCATCAGCATACGCGAAGGCACCTGGTATTAACATATCATTGATATGCAGCAGAAAGAGAGTTGCAGACAGTAGGGAACCCTGAGAAACTCTGGCATCTATCACCCGATGGTCGGAAGTGTAGCCTTCTAAGACCACCCGAATTACATCTATTTGCCAAGTTTAGTTGAAATCCCCTAGTTTGCCACCCTTACAGTTGGTATGTTTTCGTCAAATTAAAATGGGACCAATTCCGAGGTAATCTCTTTCCAACAAAAAAGAATCTCCAAAATCGGAGTTACCGCGTAATATATTTCGCTAATTGAGAACTTCCTCGTTTTTTTGAAGTCGGTTGAAAAAAACCTTGATCCATAGACACTTTTAAAGCATGTATTTTACAAATAAGGCTGTAAATAACGCTCGTTCTCTTCAAACAAGCGCGCATAAAATTCCCCAAGAAAATCAAACTGCGTCTACCTAAAAACCTTAACATTGCCCGTGTGTGGGGCTCCCCATCTTTACCCCCCTGTCAAACGCACACTTCACGTAATATATTGTACTGTTTGATACCATTAATCTCGTAGTGTTGTTTTTGACTCCATATTTAAACGGATAATTATAAAATCGATAATGGTGGTGAGTGATTCTCTTAATTTCACGGTTGAATGGTTTTTAATAAGGCAAAACATTAGATTATTTTCCATACACTACGTCTTGAAGCTATTTAGCTATACGGTCTTAATTAAAATACAAATTAGAACGTACTTTCGTATAAGTATTTTAAAATACGAAATACAAAAAACCTTCACAAAATATTTTCATCAAACACAACATACATTAAATAACACGACAGAAAAAAAAACAGCCTTCCAATTAAGAGTATTTTTTTCCCATACGATTCATTTTGCTTGGGTCGGGCGGTATGGACAATGGCTTTATTTCAGAATTTATAATGCCATTTGAAAATTGTATATATCGTATACTATACGCATTGACTTACAATTATATTATGGACGTCGGGTCCGCGCTAAAAAGTGTCCGCACTTGTAAGGCGCTAAAATCGTATACAGAGCGCTATCTCCGCTTTAGTCTTCATTTGTTCTACTGACAGCGCGATACTGCGATGACATTACAATTTAAATTTCGAATAGGTTGACTTGGGACATTTTTTTCGTGGTTTTTGTATTAGACCCGTCGTCCATTTATTTGTAAGTCAATGACTATACGTGATCTATTTAGTTCAGTTGTTAAAAAAAAATCATAGGTATATTTAAAGTACCTATTGAATAAAACGGTTTTCTTCTAATATTTCGAGTTAAGTTTGTGTTTTTTTTTCTATCGCGAAATTTTTTAGGCATCGTGTTATCTCACTGTATACTAGTCAGGGTATACACAATATATTTTTTCCAAATTTGATTTGTTTAACACCTTTACTGTTATGGGGAACCAACCAAAGCCATTTGGGGTTGCATAGATTATTTAGATATTAGATCGGTCCTGGGTTTTCTGCACGAAAGAAAAAAACCATGAAAGTGCCTTAATGCTCAGGCCATACAGAGGCGGCTGCGGAAGCATTCCGCACGCGGCAATTTTTGTAAAACGCGCTCGCACGCGTACATTACAAAAATTTCCGCGCCCGGAACGCTTCCGCGGCCGCCTCAGTGTGGCCAGAGCATAAGCCTCGATTACTATCAGAACCGCTGTCGCCAAAATCCACACATTCATGATTTCAAACACTATAAACGTTCTCTAAAAAAAGTCGACCATATTGCAGCGGTATAAGATTTAATATAGTTTGTTATAGGAAACAAAAAATCTGTTACGATAAACAGAAAAAGGAAAATTTTATGTAATAATATATATAATATAATACATACAATATAGTATAGTATAGTATAGTATAGTGTAGTGTAGTGTAGTGTAGTGTAGTGTAGTGTAGTGTAGTGTAGTGTAGTGCAGTGCTGTGCAGTGCAGTGCAGTGCAGAGCAGTGCAGTGCAGAGCAGTAATCTAATCTAATCTAATAACGCACACACTCAACATAGCCCCATTTATTAAAATGTAATAAAATAAAACGTAATAAAGACGGTGATGTGAGACACGAGTTATAGGTACGAGATTTTAGCAAACTCTAATGAAAGCAAAACAAACGCTGCAAAATAAATAACCAAGAATAGAAGTGTCCGTGATTGGCCAAGTATCGCTTAAATATTAACCAATGAAAAGGCAGAACGTGTAAGTAGCGTCATATATGATATTTTATGTAGTCCCTTTTGTTAAAATTTCATATTTGATATTATACTTCATTTTTAAATAGTTCTTATTTTTCAAATGGTTACGCCTTTGTGACTGTTGTGTAACATTTTGAGATCTTATTGAATAAAATCATTTAAATTTTAATCATTTCACAAATGTAGTGACGTTATTCTGTTCAAGAACACGGTGACGCGTTTAATGAGACTTTTTTAATTACCAAAAAGACGACATAATGTTTTTTTAAACTCATAATAAATTATAGTTGGATAAAGTAAAATTTCTAATTTAGGCATTTTCAACATATGAATTAATTTCCCAGCTGTGATTTTTGCGAGGCGTAGTCGAACGTCGTAGTATAAGTTGCCAAAATAAATATTTAATATTTTTTGTAACCAAGTATACCTAAATCTACACCTGGAGCCACTAAACAAAAATTCCTATTATAATTTTTCTAATTATAATTTTTTTAGTCCTGATTTCCAATTTTGGTGACGCGTCCACAACGTGTGTTTTGTTGTCATAATTGAAAAAAATCGAATCACATTTTGAAAAACGTGTGTACTGTGAATTTTTATTAGACAAAGAAATAAAATGATTTTTTTTTAAACTATATTATTTTACTTCCAATGTATTTTTTCACAAATCTATTAAAAAACGTCGTTTGATACACGTGCGGATTTGTCATTTTCACCTGTCTCGAGTCTCGAGACTCGTGAATAATGACTAACTTTCCGCGCTTGTATTAAAAATAACTATTGATGTATGACCCCCTGTGACTGAATCGAATGAAATATAAATAAAATAAAACCAGTATTAACAATCAAAAAACGAGTCAGTGACAACAACATCAATTTGGTTATAACATCAATAAACTCAAATTATTTCCATCCCCCATCTTGAAATTAGTACAAGAAAATAATTAAAATCACACCCTTACGGAGAAGTTTTCCATACTGACG